CCCTACACCATATGGTTGTATCCATTTTGTTGGGTTAGGTGCTCTATTTTGACCTAGCTAGCTCTATATATGTACACAAATTATGTTCTATTCATGCACTATTGGCTATGGAATCCGATCTCCTCAAACCGGATCGACAATGTCGGAGCCAGAATACTGAACAAGAGGCTAAAAATTTATGATTCGTGGATTTGAACCGACGAGGAGGGCTAAACGCTTATCAGCAACAATATTTTTCTAAATTTATTACAAAATTTACATGTACTTCTACATGATTTTTTAAGTTAAGGGGGATTATAGCCTCTTCTGACATCACCGTGACTTTGCCACTGCGAATCAAGATACAATAGATTTGATTCATTCGAGAGAAGTTCAACAAAACCAACTCATTCTGTTCAAATTTTTGCAATTACCTAGTGGCTAGTGTCAACCTTGAACTGAATGAATTACGTGTGGCATGTGTAGATAAAATCCAAAATTGGAACGTTACAAATAATGAGCCGACCTTGTTTTCTACTATCCAACCCAAACTCGTCAATCATACATAGATATGTATTTTTTCTATAAATAGACATTCTCTATCTCGACATATTTGACATTCGTTATACAAGTATAAACCCCATTGAATCTACGTTTTTTATACATTGGTCTTAACTGAGTGGTGAATTATCATTGTAACTTCTTCATTTGTATAGTATGAATATACTGCAAATAATAACACATTATATGAAATGAAAAAACATATATTAAACTATTTTCGTGGATATCCATAAATAATTGAAACCGAAATGAATGATCATATGGGTATGGTTTTTATTCATTACCCGAAACTTGTGGAAATATAGATACTGATAAAAACTCGAATTAGTTAAAGTTCAAGCCTACCAATTGCTATCCCTAAACTAGTGCTGCTTTGTGCATGATTAACATTTATAATTGTTGTTCAAAAACAATCCTTGGCATGAAAGTATATACTACCATTAGTTTTCAGTTAGGTGATTACCAACTAAACACATAGATTAGAGATAATGGGATCGTGTCCACCCTTTGTAGGGCAGTGGCGGAGGCAGGATTTGAAACTACCCCTGTCCTCTTTTTAAAATATAAAAATATAATTAATAATTAATATAAATAAAGAATTAATCGACTAATACAATTGATGTTTGCATAAACAACTATGACGAATTTTCATTAGCAAACTGATCACAAATTCGACTTCGAAACTTAATATTAGTATAGTTCAAGCTAAAAATGTTATTTCTACACTTACAGTTGCAACAGGTAGAATCAAAACTAGTTTCAGAAGCAAATAAACTGACGGATATGACTTACGTACTTTTGTCTCCATCATTATTTGAGATAATTCATCAATTTCTTTCAATTAATGAAATCTCATAACATCATGATAATACCCAACAAGCTATTATTATCAAATAATTATTATGAATGGAAGAAATAAATTAACTATTTTTATCAATTATTAAACAAGTATGAACTACGATGTAGTAATAAAATATCCTTAATTATATTACTTGTAGATGTTGCGTACATATATATAGGGTATTTTTTACCAGCCAAATATTACCCCTGTCCTGGGACAAGGGCAATATAGGCTGGCTCCGCCTATGTTGTAGGGTATAAAAAGGACATGGCTATAGTGGTGAGTCACTCATCCCACCACCACTAATTTTCAAATAATTCACACGCATGCACCAATAATATTGTAGTACAGCTAGCATTATATGAAATTTGAAAACGAGTTAATTCCTAAATCAGTATTATGTAACACTAATTGCGCCTTGATTACTAATACATCCAAGAGCCATTTTTTTTTTGTGAATTTTGGTACCACATGAATGGGAATGAAATGATTTTTTTGCAGAGAATCAATCACTTTCAATAACTCGAATTGGTGGAAGAATTTTAATAATAAATTTTATATAATTCTCTTACAATCAATTATTTATACATTCAAACATCATTGAACATGACCATATTAGCTTTGTAAGTAGGCAACCATCTTCTTGTAGTTCTATGACTATGAGGTCATGCGCGGATGCTCAACATACTTGCTTCTATATGTGTCGGATTCTCCGATCAACCAACCTCAACAAAGCAATGTTTGCGAAACCGTACTTTATCAGCGTTCCAGTCGAAAAATCCTTATACTCGAGTCTAAATCGGTAAATTTTTTTTTTTTTTTTAAAATGAGGCTCTTTTGGTTCTTAGTCATAGGAGAAATTTCAGTTTAGATGAGTAAGCCTTACATGACCCGCAAAGGCAAAATGCCAAAGAAACCAATCAAGTCAAGTGCCATGGTCAATAATGGAAGCAAAACGGCCAACACAAGCAACAATATCATTGCCACCATCATTTATCTCTCCCATCTAACTTCTCACTATGGATTAGGAACTAACTTTCCACAGTTTCGGGTCGGGTCATTATGGATGGCACATAATTATGTTGGACTTAGTTACGTCGGTGAGGGATGATGGTGAATGCGTTAGTAAATGATATAAAATTCGTAAATGAACCTCTTCTAACAATTCAAGTTATTGAGACTAATTGGTTCTTGATATGGTATCAGAACCTTCTGTGTGATTAACAGGTAATCTGTTCGAATCTGGACGATCCCATTTGTTAAAGCACATAGTACTCGGATTTGTGCAGTGTTCATATTCGTATAAGTTGACTCTCGTTTGAGGGAGCGTATGATTGAATATCTTCAAATAACTCAAAACCAACTAGTTCTTGGAAAAATGATATCATACATTATTGATCCATATAAGAAATTTGAGTTATTTTTTGTCGACACCAATCTATTTCCTTCGTGTCCTTGAGTGATTGTGAGTATTACTTGGAATTGAATTGTTTCTTCTTGGAGATAAGAATGGATAAATAAATCCTAATATCATTTGATATAGTTTGATCATCATGTATTGGTTTATGAATTTTATTTTAATACCAAGTGGGGATGGATGTGGACTCAAGCAAATATTTGTAACTTGTTTGTTTATTTTTTTTATAGTTATAAAATAATAATAATTATAATAAGAAAAAGGATGGGGTGAACGTGTTTCAATTGATGAGGGCACGGATATACTTCATGATAGGATGCAGTGAATATATAATTTATAATTTTCATTATTGTACACACCAATCATCAATGGTTTTCTATTCAAAAATTAAATGAAATCCATTCATCAATGGTTTCGAATGGGAGTTTGCATGAAAAATATTGCCAAGTAATAATTATTATTACAATATGAATATGAACGAAGTGCCAATTTGATTTTTGAAAGTTTCCATTGCATAGAAAAGAAGATATTTCTCGTATTTATGACGTTTTTCATAACGTACATATAATTTTAAAAGCGCCAACTTTCTGTTATTAAAAATATATATTTCAGTATGAATTACGACGTTATTGAGATCTCTGAGTTCCATCAAACCCCATGAGCCAAAGTTCTGTTAGCTACTTACCTTTTTTGTGGGACATTTCGATTTGTAAACTAATCATTCTTTGTTTACTAATTGTCTGATTAAATACGGCCACCATTTAGGCTACAAGAAATTACAAGTAAACCATGCCATGACAATAGTCGATAGATCGACACGAAAGCATTACAATTAAATGTTATAAATTTAACCAATTGATTAACCCACTCTTTTATGTTAGACAAAGACCCCTAATTAATGCCATGATTTGGAATGCCCACCTCCACAATTCTATCTTTAAAAAAAAGTACTTATCCACACTTCATTTTTTAAAATTTACATTCAAATGGTAGAGCGTCTCGCAAGTCAGTTTATAATTATGACTATTATCATAACCAAGAAGGATTTTCATATTTACATAAAAGAATATATGAACAAGGAACTAACCATATCCCTGAGACGTACTCGTGAGAACCATGTCGAATGAACTTGACAAAATGAACCCCCCAAGCCCCAACAACAACTTAAGACATGAAACATCGACTGGTTATTAAAATATAAAAACTCTGCTAAGTGGTAACATGGTATATGGAGTCTGGTACATAAACAATATCAGAGGGATATAAGAAAAAATGATATAACTTATAAGTTGAAGAGATTTCAATTGAAAACAATGCAATCTCATTTTTTTATAAGACAATAATACATGGTAGAGTTTTGTATACTTTTTCCATCTCAAAATTTTTACAATCTCATATTACACATATACCGAAACTTCTTATTTAGTAATCACACGAAACGATAAATGATGGATTACAGAATGAGTTTTCCTAAGTAGAGATCAAACTACTAACCTCGTGATTTAAGTACGAGACCAACCACCACATTAAGTCTGAGCTAATTCCCAGACTAACCCTGGAAGAAGGTTTTTGTATTAACCAAAAACAAATCATTTTGCATTAGGTTGGCTGTTACTACAGACAAGTAGTCAACGGCCCAAAACAGACGCCGGTCTTCGAGCAGCCCATCAAAAAAACGACAGCGCAGAAGAAACGCCAAGCTGACTAACTCCCCCGCCCGCCAGCGTGGACAATATCGGCCGCTGATTCATGAAACGATCTAAAACCATCAACGGCTAAGATCGAGCCCTGGCTCTACTTATATATAAGATCAAGTCAAGCCGCGTTTCCTCTTCACGGTAGATAGAGAAGAAGGAACAGAGGAAACAAAAAATCCATCAAAGCTCGAATCTTTGAGTTTTGAAATCCAACTGCTGTACCTCAAAATCTTTCCGAAACCCAGATTGAAAATCCCTCGATTCTTCAATACCCAGATCTCGATTTTCCCAACCATTTCTTCTTTTCTCCCCCTCTGTTTCTTTTTTCTTCGTTTCTTCTTCTCTGGTTCGTTAATGGCGATCTCTCCATCGTCGATCATCGTTTGAAGGTTTAGTCGAGCGGCTCCTCTTCTCCGAGTTGAGGGATTTGGAGTGGGATTCGATTGTTCTCAGAGCTCCTCTGTTTTTCTTTTCCTTTTCATTTTCCCGGCGGGAAAAAGGAACAATGATAGTGGCGGCGCCGGCGGCGAAGGACAGAGTGAAATTCAACGTGGGCGGAAGAATCTTCGAGACAACAAGCACCACTCTAGCCAACGCAGGGCGGGACTCCTTCTTCGGCCCTCTCTTCGACGAAAACTGGGACTTGAAAGATTCCAGTCAATCCGTCGGCGGCGGCGAATTCTTCATCGACCGGAATCCGGACTGCTTCGCCGTCGTCCTCGATCTCCTCCGAACCGGAGACTTAAACATCCCGCCCAACATCCCAGAGCGCCTCCTCTACCGTGAAGCCTCCTTCTACGGCGTCCTCGACCATGTCCGCTCCGCGAAATGGGGCCCGTTCGACGGAAACCGTCTCCGTTACTCAAAATCCATCTCCGGCACCGCCCCTGGAGACGGCACAGCCATCCGCGCCGCCCCAGACGGCGGCTGCGCCGTCGCTCACGGCAGCATCGTTCACGTCTACGACTGGATGTTGTCAGAGGAACACCCGCCTCTGACCCTCGACCACCAGCGGGTCAACGACGTCATCTGGGTCGACCCGGAAAATCTCGCCGTCTCCGCCTGCGAGCGGCTCGGCCGCGGCGACGGCGGATTGGGTCTGTTCAACAAAACCTCCGGCCGGCTCCGATTCAAATTCCAGGTCACCCACGATAATCAAGTCAAGAGCTTTACCGCTGGAGCTCTGGCCACAGCACAAAATCCCAACCACAGAATCTTCAGCAGCTGTAAGGGGAGGAGCAACGAGTACGGAATCGGAGTGTGGGATCAATTCACCGGAAAGCAAGTCGATTTCTTCTACGAATCCCCCGGATGGTCCCTGGGAGACGCCGATCGGCTCCAATGGCTGGAGGAAAGGAACTGTCTTTTGGTGGCTACTCTGTTCCCCAGAAAGGACAATTGCTACATTAGTTTGCTTGATTTCAGAACCAAGGACATGGTGTGGTCGTGGTCGGACGTCGGAGCTCCGATGACCGTCGACGAGAGGCGGGTCCGAGATGGGATAGCCATGGAAGGCAACAATGCCATATGCGTGGTGAACGAGTATGAAGATTTAGGGTTTATGGATCTGAGGATGAACGGCGGCGCGATCAGGTGGAGCTCGAGGAGTCGGCTGATCATGAAAGGCAGGATGCCCGACGATGAGCCCTGTTACCCGAAGCTCGCGCTTCACGATGGGGGCCAATTGTTTTCGTCGATGAACGACTGCATCTCGGTGTTCTGTGGTCCTGATATGGTCATGACCTCGAGGCTTCGTCGAGGATATGGAGGATCGATCTGCGATTTCTCGATCGGCGGGGATAGGTTGTTTGCTCTTCATAGTGAGGAGAATGTGTTTGATGTTTGGGAGTGTCCTCCGCCGCCGGTGATCTGATTTTTTGATGATCATGTTCCTCAAAGTTTGGAACTTTGTGTTATGTGTTGGATTGAAAATGCTAACTTGGCTAGTACTATAGAGATGTGACAAAGGGTGGGAATAGAATATACTGAAATGTGTGGTGTTTTTCTTTGTGCTCATTTATAGGCTAATAGAGAAGGCAATAGGATTTTGTTTTCTTCTTCTTCTTTGTTTCTGGTGTGGACAATAGTAGTAGCTTCTTACTACACTACATATGTAAGTTTGGGCATTTTTATAGCCATGGTTTGTAGGAGTGAAAATCAAGAGGTTTCTCAATCTGGGTTTTGTTCATATGGTTCACATTGTGGTGTTGCAAGTGCAAAGATGAAAGCTTTGATGGGTTGTTGTACATTTCAAATGTGTATATAATATGTTTCTAGGCATATGTTAACTCTCTCCTAGAGGTGGGTGGTTCAATAAATAAGATGGTGCCACGTTTATGATGAGCAGTTGAGTACTATGCAAAATAATCGAACTAGATTCAAAATAAGAATATAGAACCCAACATGACATAGTTTATCATACACTAAAACGGTAGAAATAATTCAATTTCGTATCCTAACTTCAAAGATAAGAAGGATCACGATTAGAATTAAGTTTGATTCAAGATAAGGGTATAAAATCAAACATAAATCTGATTTTTTCATCTGGAATGGGGAAACAACTCGATTTCGTATCCTAAATTGAAGAGCGAGAATAATTATGATCAGATTCAAAATTTTGATTGTAAGTGATGGTCTGAAATCAAACGTGACATGATTTTCGGATTAAAGCGAGAATGAAGGATCCAATTTCAACCTTATTCGAAATATAAAAGTAAACGCGATTGAATTAAAATAATGATTTAAGAAACGTTTCAAAACTCAATCACAATACGAGTTTCGTATAACATGAAGAAAAAAACTCTGAGAGTTTCGATTCAATCTCAAAATGACATAAAACTTCGAACATCAAAAGGATAGTGGTGGGTGTAATGATGCTGGAAGGTGGTCTAGTGGTGCCTGCCCATTCTTTTCCCTCAATTTTTGAACTTAGCTAAAGAAAGAGTTCTCTTCCTTCTTTTCTCTTTCTCTTATGACATTCTTTTTCTTTCTTTTGACCTCATGCTTTGGTTACAAACCTTACCTAATTGGTGACCTTGGATCTCTCACAATCAGAGACAGACCTGGCAAGTTGAGTAATCACTGAAGCAAGGGAGTGACTGTGACTGAGAGCTGAGAGGAGAGGCCCCTTTTGTAGGACACTCACTGTCTTTGTCCATGTGAGTTAGCACCTGCCAAATGAAGAAACCAATAATAACAAACTATATATATAAAAAAAAGCTCAATAGCACAGTTGGTCATATGATGTCACTGGTATATGCTCTTGCTTCCCCTCTCTGTAATCATGATATCTCCGGCAAACGATTAGTCACGAAATAAGCTCAATTTTTATGTGAGGAACTCGTACTTAACTACAGTTACCGAAAAATGAGTCTGATAGCTAATACATTTTATTGATGCTCATTAAAAAAAGAAAGAAACTCATGTTTTTCTCGATAATCTCAGCACACCTAACTAGATCAAATGAGAGCACTTGACTCGAAGGAGTCGTATGCAAGGAAGTTGGCTAACATCACATTTGGAATTCTATGATATGGAGTAAACAAAGAAGGATGATCCCTAATTGGCAAGGTGATATACCACAAAATTGATTTCTCATTAACGCATGGGGGAAACATATCTCCTTATCGAGTATAAACATCTCATGAATAGTCCCTTCATGAATTACGACATAGTGTGTGCAAGGAAGTGAAGAAGATCCATATACGAACCTCTTTCAACAACTCGAGTTACTGAGACTAGTTGGTTCTTCATATGGTATCGAAGTTGATTTGATCGTGAGATCACGTATTCAAGTCCCATGACCTCTGATATTGACCATTACCTTAAAAGAAATGGTATGACAAACCTGTACAAACGTCATCATTCATAATAAACATTTTCCAACAACTCAAGTTATTAGAACTAACTAGTTTTTAAAACCTGCAAAATCCACCTACCTCACTAATGAGGTGTATCTAAGATCAATCTCAAATCTCTGTCTCTATTTATGTCTTCTTGTCAGATTTTTGGTAAGGGAAGATGCCCTTTGAGCATGTGAGTAGTTGGGAACCTGATTCACTGGATATTATTAAATGTCTCTCATAACTTCAGAACACTTTCAAAGGCAAAAGGAGAAAAGAGAGAAAAGGGAAGTTGATAAGGTGAGATGAAGAAGATGGGGAGACAAATAGATTTGAAACAAGGTATTGAGAGGGCTTTTTTTGGTGTACCAAATATTCTAACAAGTTTCAATTTTTTGAGTGTGTGGCCCATTGGACAATATCATAACAGGATAGTGGATTGGTGTCCCAGTTTCTATGGGGTCTCTCTCTATATGGTTCTTGTCGTTTTTTCTTCTTCTTTGATTATGATTTCATGGTCTTCCAAATTGTCCTGCAATTTGAATAAACAATTGTGGGTTTGTGCTGAAATCTGACAATTGGGAGCAAATCCCTAGTGGGGAAGGAGGAGGAGAGAAAAAGTTTAGGGTTTGGACCCATTAGAGGAGGGGTCAATGGCATGTAGGACAACACAACTGGAAAAAGAGAACACAATTTGCACTTAATTTGTTTCTTTCAATTTCGTATTTCCACCATTCATTATGATTTTCAAAGTAAACGTTTTTAATAGGACTGCCAAAGTATATTCGAAGAAAGAATCTTCCATTGACGATCTTCTCAATTCTCATGAATAGTTCGATAAATTATCAGGTACAACGCTACAGGTAAATGCATAAAGATGCTACCATTAGCTAACTCTTCTGGTTGAGGATGTCCTTGTGTAAGGTTTTGGTATGAGTCCTCCTCCCTCGTTTTGGGTTAAAGACAGTTTTTGTTAGCTTTGATGGATATTTGAGAGGTTTAATCTCTTCAACTTAGATTTGAAAGGCTACAATCGACTTTTATACGAGCTCAAAGGTTGGATCTTTACGTCGTTCCATTGAGTTTCTTTTCAACCAAATTTAGCTGATAGACTCCAAGCGTGGTACTTTATTATTTAGTTGTTCATCAAACCTAAATATTGTGTATCGATTTCTCTATTAAAAGCTCTGTAATCCATTTCACAAAAAGCTCCAACCATCATTATATAAAAAAAGAACTCTTGATCTAATCGCCATTAGGGATTTAATAAATTCATTGATGGAAGAAAAAGCTAGAACAAAGGAAAGCTGCAATACGGCACGGCACCAAGCCACTAATTAAAGCTTCAAGGCGGCCGATGCTAAAACGGCTTTTTTGGTGATTTGTGTAAATCCTTATCCAATTGGGATGAAGTCAGCCAGTCGTCTTGATCTCTTTCTTCCACTACCACAACCAGAAAGAAAGGTGATAGATTCCAAACATGGGATAGCTCAAAGCGTGACACTTACGTTATCCACAAACTTGTTCATTGCTTTCAGTTCTCCATAATGACATCAACTAAAGGAGTTCGTTCGTTTGTTTGTTTGTTTATATTATGCGCATCCATTTTCGGATAACACTCTGTTTCTGTTAAAGCTTATCATTCCAATGAAACCAGTAAGACATATGATTCAAACTATATAATATTGTGATAAAACCATACCGATTTGGTCATCTATGTATGATTTGATCTGTATAACAGCATCACACTCGGATAATACTGCTAATGTATAAGAAAGAATCAAGCATTTTTGGTAATATTATGGTGCAAGAGTGCGAATCAGTTGGGAGAGCATTCAAAGAATTGGAATATAGAGAGCATCATTTACCATCAAAGATAACATGAGCTCTTGGAAGGAAGAATGGGCTCAGAATATAGGGGGTAAGAACGCTAATAAGAGATAGATTATGAATTGGCAGATTATCAAGCATAATCAGGCATGACCCTTTTGAGAAATGCTACAGGCTGAGAGTCTTCAGGGGCGAGCTGGTCGAATGGGACGTAGTTTTGCTCCTTATCGTACACGTGGCACACGGTCATTATGGTCCTCATTAGCCGCCAGTTCCATGTAGCTTCGTTTAAGTACTGTCAAACAACAGGGGAAATGAGAGAACAAAGGGTCAAAGAGGTTTTTTCCTTGTCATTGCTTCTTCTGATTTCCATATGAGTGGATGGGACACAAAGGGGTTACCTTGCCCCAGTTTTCTTGGATGGATCTGTGAGCTGCAGGGAGATTGTAGCTTGGAATTCGCGATGAAATGTGATGGGGGATGTGGACGTTGATGTTATGGCAAAGGATCTCGATCCTGCAGCATGGGAAGGTTGCTCGGATAAGCATCAGTATAAACTTGTCTATGGAGGTCAAACAAGGGAAGGGAATATGTATTTTACCAGCGAGGGTAATCGCAATGAACGGTTCCATTAAGCTGAGCCTGCGCTGCATTCCACTCTTCGGAAGGTTTGAATGGAATGTGGGGGGCTGTATGATGCACCATCGTGAAAGTGCTCATCTGCAACAAATGGATAATTCGGAAGATCATCAGAACCTCGGTGGGTGAAACCAACAAACACGAGTGAAATGGTCAATGGCATTACCCAGAAGTGATAACCCAACCATGGCATTAGCCAGTATTTGATCCATCCCACAACCCCGGCTTTGTAAATAATCAAGGGCCATCCAATCCCCATGAATGCAAACACACATGCTAAACTTATCTTCACCCGTTGGACCTCATTCGGTCTGAATTTCTTCAGAGAGAAATGGGCGAGCCACCTGTCGATCGAGATCGTTTGAGTTATATGCTTGGTATAGTATCATATATGCACAATTTGTTTTTGGTAGCATCATACATGCACAATTGCGTGCAAGAGGGGACAGCTACTCAATACCGTTATATAGGAGCATTACCAATGAGCTATAGACATCCATGGCCTAAACGGACCATATCCGTATATGATTGCCTTCCGAAGGAGAGGGGATGAATCAAACTCTTCTTTGTCAACAGGTAGCCAAGCTGTATCTTCAACCAACCTGAAGATATGAAAAACAACAGGGGAATGATTCTCAGTTCAAAATCAATGGAACTGTGTAACCAAGAGCTAATCTAGAACACACTGATCGAGCTCACATGTTTGTCTTTGCATGATGCCTGTCGTGCTTGAATCTCCATGGTTCATAAGGATATATTAATGGCAGAAAGGCCAGAGTTCCTACAATGTCTTCAACTAATTTGTTCTTCGAAAATGACTTGTGAGCACAATCATGACCTATGACAAAGAACTTAAGAAAGACAAGAAGAATGAGCTCAAGAATTCATAAATTGGCAAAATGAAGGAAGTTCAAGAACTAACCCCAGTAACTGCAGTCCCGGTCCATGCCCAAGCGAAGGGAAGCAGGAACCAAGGAGCCTTTGAAATCATTAAGAGCCCCAAAGCATATGAAGCTGCTGATGTTAGCACTGATTTCCATGCTTTTGCATCATCAATCTCAAACACCTTGGAATAAAAGAAGGCAAAGAATGATAAGAAAACTTTCTATGGACATGAGCATGACAATGTGCAGTAAAACTCATTCCAAGCACTTCATCCCCGGTCGAAGGTCCAGACTCAATGCCAAATATCATAAAATTTGTCTTATAAATAATATAAAGCTTACCTCTTTTGGGAGGGTATCAATGACCTGCTTCAGTGTAACATCGTCCGGAAGATCTTCTCCTATTTGCCTGAAGCCATAACTTTCGGCCAACTGTTTCCTGTACTCCGCACCATCAGCTGCAGATGATACAGCAGGAACAGCCACAGCTTGTACAGTTCTAGACTTTCTCGAGTGAACTAGAAACTTATTTTGCTTCGTCCCCTGGCGGAGTAGCGGGTCCCATGCAAAGCCATTGAAGCCTGTCTATCAAAATTGAGTTACTATAAGCTTGTAATACTAGCAACGCAGATTTGCTTCGTTTCAGTGAGCTAATAAAGCATGGATATGGTCTATATGGATTAAACTATTCCAAGCATTCACAACTGGTTACGAAACTAAGTAGTACACATGTAATAACCCCGGAAATGATTGTGGAGAGTATTTTAGACATTGACCAGCAAAATTTTAAGAAATCAATGGGAATAAAATTGACCAGAAACTCAGTTTTGGCATTTCCTACTGCAGCTATTTACTACAATTGGCAAATTTAACAGTCCACAGACACCAAATTGCCATAAATTCTCCGTTCTCTACAGCTGACCAACAAAATCACCTTCAGGGAATTATCCTTAATAGAGAATCAGATCCAACTCAGACCAAGATTAGATTCAGCTGAAAGAATGAAACTTTAGAGTGATTTGCAGTTGTAAATCCCACCTTCAGCTGCCAATACAACTACACAAGACATCCCATACAAATAGATGAAAAACCCATAGCATTAGCAGCATTCAGCCAAAAGAAGGAAACTTCAACATTGATTTGTTGAATGGAAGCCAACTGATTGAAGAAACAACCGAGGCAGTAAGGAGAGACAGAGTAACAAACCTGTAGAGCATTGACCTGCAAACTTCTGGGTCTTGATTGGTCTCTGATTGGCTCCCTGGCAATCCGAAAACGAAACCATAATCGAACCTCGGAAAATCAAAACAACAACCACAATTTGCTGCAAGAGGAAGAAATGTGAGACGAAGGGGCAATACCACGAAGAGGAAGACAGAGTCTGGAGCAGCGATCCTGCAAGCCATATTGGATGGCGCGAGCAATTGATCTTGCACCTTCGTGCGCTAAGGGGGTTTTAAGAGGTTTAAAGGGGTGGACTTTATAGTTCTGCGGCGTTCGGCCTTCACCGTCCAACCAACGTTTCTGTGGATAGAAGTAGCACCACATTTCTCAGAGTTCTTACTTCTCACAGCACTTGGGCCTCTCAGGTCAAGCTTACAAATTACAATCGCCTCGACAGATGGCGTTTTCCCCTTGAAATCGGGGCTCTGTACAACGTCAAAACTCGCCAATCGAAGGCACGATTCCTTTGGGAGCAAGTGGAAAAAACCCGGCCATATGGACCCGAATAGGCCCTATAGAGAACCGGGAACTCGGTAAGTGAGCGCACAAAGTAAAAATCGGTTCTTTCTCCTTCGGTTTCTCCACTTGTCGCCATCCTTTCTTTTCTTCTCCTCCTTCCCAATTGAAATGACGCGGAACCAGACTGAATAGCTCCCGGTCTCTTGCCTGCCCAATCTCTAGAGCTCCGTCTCCGACTTACATTCGTCGGAGATTCAAATTCGTTCCGGCGATCCTATAGTCCTCCAAAATTACTCCAACTCCTCAACGAGAACAGGTTCGGGGCTCTTTTTCATCTCTTGGGTACTCTTGCTTGTTGTGAAAAGATGTTGACTTCGGGAATTTTTCTTGGTTAATTTGACTGGTTGGAGATGTGGGTTCTACTGTGAAGGCGAGACTTTGCTCTTGAATTTGTTCATGGCGATCCTGACGGTGCTTGAGAAAATTAGTAGTATATTGCTGTGTTAGCCTGTAGCAAAGTTTTGAACTGAACCCTAAGCAGAATTTGAGCCATGATTTAGCTGAGACGGTTAATTGCATCATACTGTAGTGGAGTTGTTTAGATTAGCACTATTTCTCATTTCTTAATGTTCAACAGCTGATGGAAGAAGAAGAACTCCATTGCAATAGTTCGTCACAAGCACCTGTTGGGGATCTGAATAATCAGTGCATAAAGCAGGATGGCAAAGGAGAAACCGAGGTGTTGGATGCTCGAACCTCCCTTGAAGAGAAGAAAGAGTTTGTTGCACCAGCAGTAGGAATGGAATTCGAGACCTATGATGATGCATACAACTACTATAACTGCTACGCCAGAGAAGTTGGATTTCGTGTTAGAGTCAAGAACTCCTGGTTCAAGAGGAACAGCAAAGAGAAGTATGGTGCAGTGCTTTGTTGCAGCAGCCAAGGGTTCAAACGAATTAAAGATGTAAACCGCCTGAGGAAGGAAACCCGAACCGGTTGTCCTGCAATGGTAAGGATGAGGCTCGTGGAATCTATGAGGTGGCGTGTGCTGGAAGTTGCCCTTGAACATAATCACTTGCTAGGCAGTAAGCTCCATAAATCGATCAAGAAGATCAATGGTGGTAGCACCAAAAGGAAGGTATCGAGTACGGATGGTGAGGTGCGAAAGATTAAGCTCTACCGGGCACTTGTTATAGATTCTGGAGGTCAAACAGGATTAAGTGCAAGAGAAGTAAAAACATTTCCCGAGCTTCCTAATCAGCTGAACTTGAAAAAGGGTGATGCACAAGCTATCTACAACTACTTTTGTAGAATGCAGTTGACCAATCCGAGTTTCTTCTACTCGATGGATCTGAACGACGAGGGGCATCTGAGGAACGTTTTCTGGATCGATGCTAGGTCGAGGGCTTCGTGCAGTTACTTTGTCGACAGCATATTTGTAGACAACTCGTACTTGTCAGGTAAATATGAGATCCCTCTCGTCACATTTGTGGGAACGAATCACCATGGTCAGTCTGTCTTGCTTGGATGTGGTCTACTTTCTGGCGAGACAACCGAGTCTTACCTTTGGCTATTCAAGACATGGCTCCACTGCATACCGGGAAGAATGTCTCCACAGACCATTATCACCGACAGGTGTAAGTTCTTGGAGAAAGCAATTGCACAGATGTTTCCCAAATCACACCATTGTTTCAGTTTGGTACACATCATGAGACGAATTCCTGAGAAACTAGGAGGCTTAGGAAACTATGATGCAATTAGGAAGGCATTTGGGAAAGCGGTTTATGATTCGATGAAAGTAATTGAGTTTGAAGCAGCATGGGGCTACATGATCCAGCTTGTTGGAGTTTCTGACCACGAATGGCTTCGATCATTGTATGAAGATCGCCTCAAGTGGGTCCCGGTGTATCTCAAGGATGCATACTTTGCTGGTATAGGAGAGAATCTTCATCCGTTCTTCGACAAGTACATCCACAAGCAAACACCATTGAAGGAGTTCCTCGATAAGTATGAGCTGGCATTGCACAAGAAGCACAAGGAGGAAACCCTCGCTGATATCGAGTCGAGAAGCGCTTCGGCACTTGCCCTGAGGAGCAGGTGCTCATTCGAGCTGCAGCTTTCCAAAGTCTACACTAGGGAGCTGTTCAAGAAATTTCAGTTCGAGGTGGAAGAGATGTATTCATGTTTCAACACGATGCAGATTCACGTGGATGGCCCAATTGTGATATTCCTGGTCAAGGAAAGGGTTCTGCTTGGTGAAGGGAACAGGAGAGAAGTGAGGGACTATGAGGTTCTGTACAATAGAAGTGGGTCAGAAGTTCGTTGCATATGCAGCCGCTTTAACTTCTCTGGTTATTTGTGTCGGCATGCTTTGTGTGTACTGAACTTTAATGGCGTGGAGGAAGTTCCTGGAAGGTATGTACTGTCCAGATGGAGGAAGGATTACAAGCGGATGTATGTGCCTTCGGATCATGGCTCGGGTGAAGCTGTCGTTGATGCTACTGACCGTGTGGAGTGGCTCAACCGGTTGCATCGGAGTGCTTTGCGGATCGTGGAAGAAGGGTTGGGTTCGGTCGAGGGTTATGATGCTGCGTTGCAGGCCTTTGAGGAGTCGCTGAATAGGGTTCATGAGGTGGAAGAACGAGTGAATGTGTAGAGAATGTGCAGTTGGTTCATTATCATTCTTTTGTACAAATGGAGGCTTTGTTTCGATTGAATCTTGTGTATAAAAACTAAAAAGGTTGGAAGTGTGACTAACATGATGTATCTTCTGTGACTCTGAAATGCGAACTTCGTTCGAGTTGAACAATCAAGGAATTTTCTTTGCTCAATTGCTTCAAGAATCTTAGTTTGAGCAAACTTCATGCATGTCACCTTCATCGGAAAATAAATCTCGTTATTTCCTCCTAAATTCACCTCCCTTCGTAGATCACAATTCAAATACCTTCCAATTATATATTAACATATTTTTCATGAGAATAATCATTTTTTTTTCTAATACTATGAGTTGGTGACACAAATTTTGACTAAAAAAGTTAGGATTTTGCTACGGTGACATGCATGTCACCGTGACATGGATTTTTCGGTCGACCTAATCCAAAATGCGGTCGACCGAATTGACTAATTCATGTATGTGATGTTCCGAGACGCGGTCGACCTTTTACATAATATGGTCGACCTCTTTGGTGGTCTTACATAATATGGTCGACCTCTTTTTATGTGTGAACAATTATGATTTCTGTTTTATTGTATTTCTTGTTAGTTTGTCTAGTTGTTATGCTATGAATTGATGAGTCTTTGTTATCATTATTTATTACTATTTATGATGGTTTGAAACATAATTTATACGAGCAAAAGAACCACACAAATCGACATACATAAGCAAAAAAAGACACGGGGCATAGGTTGACTTTCTTGCATTCGGTCGACCTCATACTGGATTAGGTCGACCTCGAAACCAACACTTGATCTTCATTTTACCTCAAATGATTGGACACTTTGATAGAACACTTATCTTCCATCTGGTCGACCTCTTTCCTTATCTGGTCGACCATTTTCTTAATGACTGCCATCAAGTGGTCGACCTATATACCTTTTCGGTCGACCATGTTGTTTCTGATCGACCAAAAATAACAACTTAAACTAAGTGCGGTCGACCGGGTGGTCGTTGAGGTCGACCGCAATGCTTTCTCGTGCTGCCCAAATTAGTCAATTCGGTCGACCGCCTTCAGGAATAGGTCAACCGAAAAGTCCATGTCACGGTGACATGCATGTCATAGTAGGCATACCCAAAAAGTTATATACACCAAAGAAAGAGTGATTAAATCTAATTCTAATTTCTAAGCCTAATTATTTGATTTCACTCTCTAATCTCTATCGAATCCTTTCATCCTTTCCCAGTAAAAGCCAAAGGAAAGGCGTCATAGGCAAAAACAGGATTGTGTCTATCCAAATCCGACTGTCCAAATCATTTTCACTCCTCGTACGTCAAACCCACAATAAAAAGACAAAAACTTGGCTCCACCTGGCGGAGGACGACGCCGCCACGTCGGCACAAGCCTGTCGTGGGTGGCGATTTTCAGACCCGCTGTGCCCTGCGAGCCAGCCTTCAAATCAAGGCAGCTGATAGAGGGAAGGAAAGCAATCGCCTTTACGGGAACCTTTGAGATTTTGCCCACCAATCATTCGATCAATTTCCCCAACCAAAAATTTTCGCCCCGTTTCCCACACTGTCTCTTAACCAAATCATTTCATCGGTTAAGACTTGAGAACAAAAGGCAGCAAAGTACAAACCCCCCTTTTCGTTAATCTTCCCACGAAACCCCTTTTCTTCTTGTTGGGTCTATCTCTTGACCCGAAAGCGAAGGTTTTGATTCACCAAACCAACCAACCACTTTGCCGGGATAACAATTTTCAGTTGCCGCCGAGGTTCGGTTGCTGGAAATGAGTTTTTGGGTTTTGGTTATTGAAGAAGAAGAAGAAGAAGAGGAAAAGAAGAGTTTTTGAGGAGGGCTTAGCGACGAGAGAAAGGGAAGATGGCATTGTTTCGCAAACTGTTCTATAAGAAGCCCCCTGACGGGCTGCTTGAGATCTGTGAGCGCGTCTATGGTGCGTTTCCCTTCTCTTCATTTCATTATACTGTTCTTTGTTTCTTCTGCTGGTCTAGTGGCAGGCACTGATAAAAAAGTTGGAACCTTTTCTTGTGAATCCGCTAAATTATTGCCTTTGAGCTGTGGGGTTTCCTCGTTTGGTTGCCACGAAAGTTTGAGATATGAAATTGGGAGTTTGGCTTGTGCATTAACGATATCCTTTACATGAATTTGCTGTCCTTTACATGAATCAAGTAATTAACTGGAACGAGTCATCTAAAAAGAGCTAGTCTTTCAGTAGTCATGTATGCAATACTATCTTTGTTGTGTCTTGGTTATGGAAGGTGTAAAGGACTCTGATTTACTAAGTGTAATATATGTATAATGATCGAATGCAGTTTTCGATTGTTGTTTTACAATGGATACATGGCAAGACAAAGATTACAAGGGGTACATATGTGGAATAGTTGGCCAGCTTAAAGACCACTTCCCTGATGCATCATACCTAGCATTCAATTTCCGAGAAGGAGAGACACAAAGTCAGATTGCTGATGTATTATCTGAATACGACATGACTATCATGGAGTATCCTCGGCACTATGAAGGCTGCCCTTTGCTCACAATGGAAGTGGTCCACCATTTCTTAAGATCAGGGGAAAGTTGGCTTTCGCTCGGACAGCAAAATCTGCTGCTGATGCACTGTGAAAGAGGTGGTTGGCCGGTTCTTGCCTTCATGCTGGCAGCACTTTTGATTTATAGAAAGCAATACAGTGGAGAGCAGAAGACATTGGACATGATCTATAGACAAGCTCCTCGTGAGCTTTTGCAGTTGTTGTGTCCTCTAAACCCTGTCCCTTCTCAGTTGAGGTATTTGCAGTATGTTTCAAGAAGAAACGTGGCTACAGAGTGGCCACCATTGGACAGAGCTCTCAACTTGGACTGTATCATCATGAGATTCATCCCAAATTTTGATGGAGAGGGTGGGTGTCGTCCTGTGTTTCGTATATATGGACAGGATCCCTTTCTTGCTTCAGATAGAACTCCTAAGTTCCTGTACTCCACTCCTAAGAAGAATAAAACTTTCCGTGCTTATAAGCAGGTAAAACTTTTTATTTCTCAATACTGTTGTGAATCAAGTTGATGAAACTGCAAGTTTGTCTGGCTATGGAGAGATTGCTTAGAATGTGGATCAATGACTGTATTTGGTTTGATGCATTTGTAAATGGATGTTATTCCTCTAAATTGCATGCTATTATGTGAGATGTGGTTGTGAAAATTTGTTTGGTTAAGTGCATTTGTGAAGGAAATCATGTAAATGTGAAGAAAAGATTTGTGGGACCCACTTCCTAGAATGCATTTCCAAATGTTTCATACCCCCAAGTATTTGAGATTATATACACGATTCCAAATACGCTGCAATACATTTAAAACTTTTACCCCAGAAATGATTCAATTATTGCTATTGCTAATATCACTTTTTTTAATACACCCAACCGAACGACCTGTGAGCTCTATGTCCATTATATGAAATATATTCTCTACTCATGGATCGGCATATTATTTCCAAATTCTTCTGAATATTCACATTTGTAAGCAACTAAGCAGTTCCTTGACCTTGTATAAAAAACAACACTTATTGAACACTGTTTCTGAGTGCAGGCAGAATGTCAGCTAGTTAAAATCGATATCCATTGTGCAATCCAAGGTGATGTTGTGCTGGAGTGTGTCAGCATACGTGATGAAATGGAGAGCGAAGAAATGATGTTTCGAGTGGTGTTTAATACGGCTTTCATCAGATCAAACATCTTGATACTCAACCGGGATGAAATTGATATATTATGGGATGCTAAAGATCTGTTTCCAAAGGGCTTCAGAGCTGAGGTACAAAAGTTTTTCAGTCATACTTCATTCTATGGAAACGATAGTTCTTCTGTAATTGAGCTCTGTGGTAACCTAAACCATTCACTTTGCTGAAAGATTATTTTCTCAGAGGTTGATGCCCATGCTTCTGTTATCTCTATGGATTTTGCTGGCCTTGAGGAGAAGGATGGCCTGCCAGCTGAAGCGTTTGCCAAAGTTCATGAGATCTTCAGCTGTGTTGACTGGTCAGCACCAAATGCAGATGTCGCATTTAACATGCTCCAGCAAATGCATGACATGGATTTTGGACATAGTGCAGAACAAAGTCCTCAAAGTCGGGAAACCAGTCCAGGAATGCTCCATGACAGAAGAAAGAGAGAACGGTTGATGAGGAGCTCACTACTCTCGTGGGAAAATGCTGAAGGTCTCGTCGCGCCAGAGTTATTATCCCCACATACAAATTTTTTCCAGGATGAGCAGCAGAATCTTGAGAATAACAAAGAGACACCACCAACTACTCCTTTGGATCTGACCATTAAAGATTTGTTACGTGACAATGCCTCACTTCAGAATGCCGAGACACTAAAAAGGATCTTGACGAACTCGCTAGCACAAAATTTGGACCATATGGACTCACCAAATTCAGTTTCACCTACTCGATCGGTTGAAGCTGAACATGAAGTTTCCACTCAGACGCCTCAATCAGTATCTGGCCATGGCATTCGAGGTGCCGAGACCAGAAGTGCTTCTGATTCATCATCAGTACCTCAACTACAACCTCCTATCGCTTCTGCTGCTGAGAAGCTCCTTTTGTGTGCACAGTCATCTGCAAACCACCAAACTGCTCCTCCCAAGGCTCTCACGACTTCACTACTCCCTTCTGCTCCACCACGGCCACCACCACCACCATCAACTTTGGCTTTGGAGGAGAATGTTGTCAAAGCTGAACCTCCACCACCATCACCACCTCCTCCATCAACTTCGGCTTTGGAGGATAATGCTGTTAAAGCTAAACCTCCACCACCACCACCTCCTCCTCCATCTTGTCCAGTAAAAGCTACAAGTCCTTCAATGGCCCCACCAAAGGCTCCACCTCCACCGCCTTTACCTTCTTCTGCACTCTCTGCTCCTCCACCACCTCCTCCGCCACCGCTTCCTCCTGTATCTTCATCTTCCCCTCCTCCTGCCACCTCCAGGCATTCAAATGCTCCTCCTCCACCACCTCCTCCTCCTCCTTGTACTGCTAGACATACTTCTTCTGCACCGCCATCGCCACCACTTCCTCATTCTGCAGCACCTCAAGCTCCTCCTCCGCCTCCTTGTTCTTCTGCACCTTCTGCTCCATCTGCCCCAGCGCCACCACCTCCTCCGCCTTCAGCTAATGGTACTTCCAGAGCTGGTAGTGGTGGAGATGCCTTGTCTGGACCTCCATCAACTGTACCACCATCTCCTGCTCCGCCAATGAGTGCTGGCCTGGGGGGCAAGGGACGGTTGTCCCGTGCCATAAGGAACAATCAGAAAAAGTTGAAACCTTTGCATTGGTTGAAGTTAACAAGAGCTGTGCAAGGAAGCTTGTGGGCTGAGGCACAAAAATCAGGAGAAGCCTCCAAGTAAGTTTTTGTTTTTCCCCCATAAGAGTGTATAATATCACTTGGAGAATGCTTTGTTATAAGTTGTTCCTGGTATATCTAAAGTTTAATCTTTTTTGTTGATTATTCTCAAAGAGCTCCAGAGATTGATATGTCAGAGCTGGAGAGTCTTTTTGCTGCAGCAGCGCCAACTCCAGCTGGTGGGGGTAAAACGAATGCACGTGGCAATCGTGGACCTAAGACTGAGATAGTGCAGTTGGTATTTCACCTAACTGGTCTCTTATTGGCTCTAGAATGATTTTTCATTACAGTAGTTGATATCAGGGTGCTGCTAATTTCCTATGATGCATTTATCAAATACATCATGTGAAACAATGTTGAGGACCTTGAGCTGGTGTGTATACTTCAACTGTTAAAAGCATTTTTACTGTGCATGCACTCAGGCAGCTGAAGGTCTCTGTAGCTTATTAAGTGGATGCAGAATGAATGAAATTGCTATCTAGGTGCTGTGTTTTGTTGATTCCCAGATCTTTTTTTCCCCTCTCCACAGATTGACCACAGACGAGCCTACAATTGTGAAATCATGCTTTCTAAGGTTAAGGTTCCACTGAGTGAATTGACGGTAAATACACTCTGTTGAAATTTTTTGGTTGCTCTGGAAGGATTCAGGCTGCTTATGGTTATGGAAAAGACATTATTTTCTTTTGACAGAAGATCTTTCTATTTTTGGCTAGTTTGTATATTGCATCAGGATATTCTCTGACATTCTCGTCTACCCGTTTTATGTTCTGACAGGGTTATGTTTTAGCTCTGGAGGATTCAGCATTAGATGTAGATCAAGTAGAAAATCTGATAAAGTTTTGTCCTACCAAAGAGGAAATGGAACTCCTTAAGGTGAATCATTATTGAATGTTGTTGTATTCATTCTCAAAATGCTTACCGGCAGCATTAAGAGGTATTCTCATAAGAATTTACTTATTATCCTATGTTAATATTCATTTTGTCAGGGCTACACTGGAGACAAGGAAAAGTTGGGGAAATGTGAACAGGTCTGTGACATTCTCTTGTCCATCTGTTTAAAATTTCAGAAGCGAACATTTTGGTGTATTTTTCTGTTAGCTTATTTATGTCTAGCCAGAGTCTCATAATTGGCATCTTTTGTGGATCCTTTCTGCAGTTCTTCTTGGAGTTGATGAAAGTTCCAAGAGTGGAAGCTAAGCTCAGAGTTTTTGCTTTTAAGATGCAGTTCCGTTTACAGGTGACGAAAAAGGAATGAGTTCTCTCGGCCATCTTCTCCCAACTTCAATTTTTTTACACTCACCTATTTACCATTTTGCATTCTAGGTTTCCGACCTCAGGAATAGCCTAAATACAGTAAACTCGGCTGCAAAACAGGCAAGTTACTGATGGTGCTTTCTTCTTGGTGGAGACATTTCTTTGGGTCATCCTTCAACATTTCTGATTTAATCTAACATGTCAAATTTGCTCTCATCAGATCAGGAATTCTGCCAAATTAAAGAGAATTATGCAGACTATTTTATCATTAGGGAATGCTTTGAACCAAGGAACTGCTAGGGGTAAGTCTGGTTTTGTCATGCTGAAAATATTTTTTTCATTCCATGTACCGTTTAATTTTCTATTGCTGAAGCATCGTTTTCATTTAGGTGCTGCAATTGGATTTAGGTTGGACAGCCTACTTAAACTGACCGATACCCGGGCAAGGAACAACAAAATGACTCTCATGCACTATCTTTGCAAGGTAAAAACTGAGGTGTTTCATGGAGATATACCACCAGTGGGATGCAATAAAACTTCAAAATTCACTGTGCTTACTATGGGGGCAGGTGCTTGCTGACAAGTTACCGGAGCTTCTTGACTTCTCGAAGGACATAATCAGTTTGGAACCTGCATCCAAGGTATCGCGGTTTCACCTTCATAACTGTGGAAGCAAGTCTTGATAATGTGACCTCGTGGCTGAATGTGTGTTTGTAAAAATCTAGGTACAATTGAAGTTCTTAGCAGAAGAAATGCAAGCTATAAGCAAAGGACTCGAAAAGGTCATGCAAGAGCTATCATCCTCGGAGAATGATGGTGCCGTTTCTGAGAACTTCTGTAAGGTAACACATTATTCCCATTGTCTGTGTCTCTGTTCATCTTTTGAGTCGGATTTAAGACCTGCATGTGATTTTAGAAGCAAAATTGTTTGGCAAAAGATGTGCATTGACAAGATGTAGGACTAGAAATAGCTTCTTTTATGCACTTCTGGCTAATCAAGTTTTCCTTGTTCAGACCCTTAAGGAGTTCCTTCGATTTGCTGAAGCTGAAGTAAGATCACTCGCTTCTTTGTACTCCGGAGTGGTATGTCATCTCATCTCAATTTTCACCTTGAAATCAACTATTTCATGTTTATAGTCCAAGACCATCTGAATGCCTTGGGTGTTGTTTTTAGGGTAGGAATGTGGATCAATTGATTCTTTACTTTGGAGAGGATCCAGCCCGTTGCCCATTTGAACAAGGTACATTCCTAGATGAATATTTTTCATGTCTTTCAGAACTTTTGGCTTTAGATCTGCTTCTCACTATTATGACCAATGACACAAAATGTGCAGTTTGTTCGACGCTGCTCAACTTTGTGAGGCTATTCAACAAAGCTCACGATGAGAACTGCAAGCAGCTTGAAATGGACCTGAAGAAAGCAGCAGAGTCCGAAAAGAACAAAGTAGCAGTAGATGCATCCGAGAACAACCCAACCAAGTCCTTGCTGCAAACTGCAGTCCAAACCAGCAGTGTCAAATGACCAAAACCTTCAAGGCCATCAACTTTTTCGCCGTTCTCAAAACTGAAACCTTTAAGGCAGCCTATCTCAAGTACTGAACAGACAAGGACGGGACCTTATGGGACGTCGAATGAAGCCTGCCGACGAGTACGCACACCTGGCTGGTGGATCTAAAAACCTGGGTCTCGACACACGTAGCGTTATCAGTCTTGCTGATGGCTCGAAAGTTTCCAGCTTTCTTCTGCTAGAAGGTAATCCCCTCCGCCAGGCTCTTGAAACCCACAAGAATCGAAACACAGGCTGTTAGAAAGTACGATGCTTTTTGAAGGGTAGGGTTGGCTACTTGTACATGTTCTTTTTAGTAACCCTTAACATTCCAGCTCTATGGATGGAAGTAGGAGGGAAGAACTCCGTTTCTGCTGCCACTCACAATTTTGTCTCCTGACTTTGTTTCTGTTTTCTGAACAACCTCTCTGCCTGTAGAAACACATATACATCTATTTTAGCCTGTACATAAAAATAGTGTTGTAGTAATGACTTCTTTCTTTCCTTCTGCTTGCTTTATTCAGAGTTAGCCTCCTCCCAACAGGTTAGCTGTGGAGATGTTTCAAGAATTATGGCCAGTCATATGGTATTCGAACCGAAGTGCATTGTACTCGATCTGACTAGCTCGATTTTATCCTAACATCGATCTCTACCGATTTAACGAGATGCGAACCGAATCGCTAAACATGTCATTGCCCCCAACAAATCCTCCAAGTTGTATAAAAGACATGGATTGCAAAACCTATGTGATCATATATATATATATATATCACTTTGTTAATGAGATTAATAGGGTTAGTTTATGTGGATATGATTGGCAATCGTATCCATAATACCATGAGTTTTGGAATAGGGGACTGTGTCTGCTTCCTTTTGGCTCTTCCCTTGCCCTCAATAATAATGTCACATTCTACCATCAAACTAATCAGGATTCAGAAAGCCCCTGAAAATCATACAGCGTCTTGCAAGATAATCTCGTATGTAAGTGTGAGAACCCCGCTTCTAGGGATTCTCGATACTGATCTTCGACACCCTCAACTCTCGTGACGATTAGGGATTTAGGGTTGAGATTAGGGAATTAGGGATTTAGATGAGAAAGAATAGAATTGGGAATCGGCCGAGGCCTTGGATTGGGAGAGAATAGAAATTAGGAGTTGAGGGGATAAACTAGGGTTTAGAAGACTGTTCTTAATATTCTGGGTGACTGATTATGACGTAAACTCAAAGTACATATTTATAGGAAATACTGGAAAACCCTAATAATAATCCTAATACGACTAAATCTCTACTAACCATAATTATAATTATCATACCTAATATAATAATAGAAACCCCAAATAAATGTGTTTCTCACAATCCATCCCCTTGAAAACAACCTTGACCTCAAGGTTGTAGTTGACTTCTACCTCCTTGACCTTCCGCTTTCTTCGTTTCCAATTGCGCTCGATCCCTTGAATGAAATCTTCTCGTGCAACTCCCACTTTCCTTGTCTCTTCTCCACCCACGTGACATGTGTCACGTTCTTCATAGTCGAACAATCCGCTCTCTTCCTTTTTGAAATCAACGAAATAAGAATCGGAGAATTGTTTTTGCTCCATAATTTCCTTCATGGGCTTGGTGGTGAAAACAACCTCCCAAACTTCTTTTCCTTCACTCCTGGGTCGGCCCTCAATTGTTTGGAGAAGGAAGTTGTGGCCCAACCAACTATTAAGCCCATTCATTCTCCCCTTCTCTCTAATTCTATTCGGGCTTGACTCCATGAGAAGCCCACCTGCCGAGCTCTTAAACCCATATTTCTTTTCCTCCCAGCCCATCTTAATTTTTAAAACATAGAACATATTGGGCTTCATTCCTCTATCCAGACATTGCCCACTATGCTCAGATTTCGGCCCGATCCCCTATTCTAGCCGGCCCAAGGCGAGTTCAGACTTCTTCGACCGAGAGTCGATCCGCCCAACTCGAGCCCAGCGACCCGAACCACAGCTTGGCCCAATGGTTCTAGACGCTTGGTGGCGCGACTTAGGGTTCCTGGAGAAGGGAAACTGTCGCCGCCTTCCTTCTCCTTCGAGTCCTTCTCCGCCAGCTCCCAATGCCGCCGATTTCCAGGTGGCCACGAATCCGGCACCGTCCTCTTCCACGACGCGCAACCCATCTGACGGCACGGTGGCCTCCATGAATCCACTGCCGCCTTCCACTCCGTCTCGTTTTCCTGCGGAGGATTCTTCTTCGATGTCGCCTTCTCGATGATCAACGTCGCTAAGGAAGCTTCAGTCAACCGCGCCGCCGCATTCCGCTTCGCCTCTGCGTCGATCGACTTCTTCTTCCTCTCATTCTCCGGCTCAACCCCCGGCGTCGAGCTCTTCGTCGCCTCCTCCTCCGACTGCGCTCTCTTTGCCTTGGTCTCCGGCGACGAGATCATCAGACGGCTCGGAGGGAGCTCCCATGCCGCGCTTCTCATCTCCAGCCTCATCACGTCGCCGATCGTCGATTCAGGAGAAAGAGTGAAGTCATTGCCCTCACTCTCATCGTTCCTCGTCGGCAACCAGATCCTCCGGAGAAGAGATTCGCCTGCTCTCAACGCCGTCTTCGACGACTCGTCCTCTCCGGTTGATGACCCAATGGACGACGCCGTCAATCGCTGCTTCCCTGCTGCGATTCGCGACTGTCGCGAGTCAACCCGGCTACCTAATGCCTTTGTTGCCTCGTAGCGACGATGGCTGCTGTTGCAAGGCTCCCTCGTCAGGTAGATCTCCGAACTCCTGGTCCCAGAGTTCTGGGACTTCCCCACCACGTCGCTGTTCGCTGGGAGAGGTGCTCTCGTGCCCTTCTTCTTGCAGAATTCCCAATTCATGGCAAGACCACGCGTTACCCTTTCCTCCACCCCATCTTTCTTCTTCCACCGCAACGAACCCTGTTCTCGGAGTTGGAACGACTCAAGGACCAAGATTGAATTACCGGCAGCGGACGAGACTTGGATTTTTGGTTGATCCCTTGCCGCCATTAGAGATTCCTCTTTTGGAGATGATAGCGTAGTGGTGATCTCCGAAAGTTTCGGCTGCTCAATACCTTCGGCAGCTCGCTCTTCTTTGGCGGAGCTCTCGGTCGTCCGGCCTTCTCCTCCGACCACCGTTGGTGGAGTTGGACCCTCTTTCGTGGCTGGTGGCTCCCGGCTTGCTCCCGAGATTAGCATCAACGTCGGCTGGGTTGGGAGCTCCAACCAATCTTCGAAATCTATTTCTGCAACTGCGACCTTCGACAATGATGGCGAGTCTTCCCTCATCGGCTCCTTCGACACGACGTTTGCGGCTTTGGGTGGAGCTGCCCTCGTGATGTTCCCGGACAGTGGTAAGGACGAGGTCACCTCGTTCCTCCTCACCCCTTTCAGCTTCAACTTCAAAAGCTTTGTGAGTTCTTTGACTGAGAGCTCGAAGTTGGTCGAAACCATGGTATGAGTGCCACAACCGGGCTCTGATACCACTGTGAGAACCCCGCTTCTAGGGATTCATTTCTCGATACTGATCTTCGGCACCCGCAACTCTCGTGACGATTAGGGATTTATGGTTGAGATTTGGGAATTAGGGATTTAGATGAGAAAGAATAGAATTGGGAATCGGCCGATGCCTTGGATTGGGAGAGAATAGAAATTAGGAGTTGAGGGGATAAACTAGGGTTTAGAAGACTGTTCTTAATATTCTGGTTGACTGATTATGACGTAAACCCAAAGTACATATTTATAGGAAATACTGAAAAACCCTAATAATAATCCTAATACGACTAAATCTTTACTAACCATAATTATAATTATCATACCTAATATAATAATAGAAACCCCAAATAAATGTGTTTCTCACAGTAACCTACTTTCTCTACCAGTTCATATGATGACCACTCATATCGGTTACTAAAATATGACGGTACTGCGCTGCGTAAATCGAGCGGGTGTTGTTAACTTGTTACCACCTACCACTAATAATGCCTTGATTTGGGAATCATGGACCGATGGAGGAGCCAACATGTAACAGTACTATTATTGGCTTATCACACTCTGCATGAAAGATCTGTTCTCCTTTTTGCTACATATGGTGTAAAATTCCAATGAATTTGTTTGTAGACAGTACTCTTTGGCAGGTTGCCTTACACGGGACGAACTGTGGAGAGAGGCAGAGAGACCTGAGTTCTCCCTCATATAATTCCTCAAACCCCAATTTCCAATGCTATTTTTCTGACATTATTATATTTGGCAATACCTAACACTGCAAATCCCTATGTTCGTGCAATTCAGGTAAAATGTAATTTTTTGTGAATGATGTGAAAGTGAGTGTTGATAGCATAAAATAAGGGCACATTAACAAAAAAAAAAAAAAAAACCATTACAATATTGCATAAAGAAATCATAGTGATATGTTCCTTAAAAAAAAGGGAAATCATTGTGATATGGTAATCAATGAAAATATTTTGCGCCCGTTTGCTACGTTTGAAATGTTTGTGACCTTTTAGTTACCAAATCGAATTAGTGACACGAAAATGATCAATTACCCGTATGTAAAACCAATTTTGGTAAACTATACATACTGGGACTTTGCTACGATGACATGCATGTCACGGTGACATGCACTTTTCGGTCGACCTCATATAGGATCAGGTCGACCTAATATGTTGTTTCAGTGTAAAAACAGTTTCATGGTGCCTACTTTGGATATTCATATCTTACAATTGGCTAGATGGAAATTGGAGATTAAAGACTTGTTTTGAAGCTGAAGTGTACCTCTACACATTAAAGTACTTGGGAGCTCAATAGAAAGTCCAGAAGACCATTTTTGAACCTGACCAAAAGGCTATGCCAAAACTGGGAAACTGCCTGAAAATGGCTAAGTCTGGCAACGTGTTTGTCAAGCCTACTTTGGAGCTCAATTTGAGAAGCATGGATGCGAATCAAGTCCAGAGGCCTCTACCACGTTAAATTACGTATTTTTTTATACAAAGGCAAGGCATTGGATGAAAAATTGAATATCTTTAAGGCTTCAAACAAAGGCTCGAAGTTGCTACGAAGGCTGTTTTTCTGGCAGCTTGCTTGTGCTCGAAGTCTGCCAAAAAAACAACCTTCGTAGCAACTTCGACCCTTTTTGTTTGAAGCCTTACAGATATCCAATCTTTCATCAATGCCTTGAATTTGTATAAAAACATACCTAATTTAACGTGGTAGAGGCTCCTGGACTCGACTCGCATTCATGCTTCTCGAATTGAGCTCCAAAATAGGCTTCACAAACACGTTTCCAGACTTGCCATTTTCAGGCAGTTTCCCAGTTTTGGCATAGCCTTTTGATGAGGTTCAAAAATGGTCTTCTACACTTCATATCGAGCTTTTAATCACTTCAATATGTAGAGGGACACTCCAGCTTCAAAACAAGTCATTAGTCTTCAATTTCCATCTAGCCAATTGTATGATATGAATATCCAAAGTAGGCACCATGAACTGTTTTTACACTGAAACAACAGATTAGGTCGACCTGATCCTATATGAGGTCGACCGAATCCTAAATGAGGTCGACCGGATCCTATATGAGGTCGACCGGATTCTGAATGAGGTCGACCTAATCCTAACTGAGGTCGACCGAAAAGTGCAAGTCACCATGACATGCATGTCACCGTAGGCACACCCTACATACTGTCCATGTCATTCTTGTATGATTGAAAACATTCATTAAGGGAATGCAACTTTTAACTTGTATCAAGTATCACAATGATGTACTTCACGTGATTGAGTGGATTGCTGAAATCCCCTGAATATACAAATTAACGTAATCATATTCATGTCTTAGTATTATTCAATGAACATTTTTAACGAGTTATTGAAGAGAGCCTTAATGAAAACAGATAAGAGATCTCATAGTCCAAGAGCGTAGAAAGTCGCATGTCGTAGTTCTGAGGTTCATTTGGGAGAGAGAGAGTTGACATCATAGGCTACCAAGAGAAAATGGTGATGCAATGGTCGGTGTACAACATCTTCTGAAACCTAACATTACCATCATAACACAAACAGGTCACGAGCAACAATTCAGCCATCACCAGAATTACTTCTAAGTTCTAACTTCTAACCCAAAATCGACCAAACAGGCTCAATCAATTACCATCTTCACCAAATCATGACCTACTTTTCCTTTCCAGTGATCCAAACTGATCAAACGTACAATTAGCTAGAGAACCGGCAGGAAAAGAATGAGAAAGGATACAACTTTCAACTGACAATGTAGTAACAACCGGGAGGATTCACTAGTAAGCAACAAAGACACAAGAAACAAAACTATGAAGCATATAAATGTACCATACAATTACGGGAAATAACTCGTGATCTACAATATGTCATCGACTCTGATTGTGTATAAAATGTGAGGAACGTTTATGAACTTGCAAATAAATTCTCGTTTATAGCTATTGATGAGAATGTTTGTCGTCCAACATTTCGTACAAAGATCTATGGAGGACCATTATCAAAATCTCTACATACTATACGACATTTTTTTTTTGTACACATTTTAGCAATCCAATGTTGTAATGAGTACCAGAGGTTACCGACATAGGAAATCGCGAAGGAAATAAATGGCGCACGAAAGTACATGATGTACCAACACAATATACGTACGCTAGCTACATCCATGGACAAAGGCGAACGGTGGGTTTTCACTTATTTGAATTTTGAAGAAAGAATACATGTTACTTATTACAGCTAATCATAATGTACGTATAAACATATTTTCTCGTTCCCTTACATGGCAATAACGAGCCCGAACCAAACACAAATATATCAAAATTTATATATCGTTTAAACGGACAATAAACCCCGTGGCGTATCAGTTCAGCCGCTAGTAAGCAACATTTACGACGTAAAATGTACCATAATGATACCAAAATGTGTCATTGTACCAACGTAGAATGTAACACATGGCTCCACCGTCCCCCCAAAAAAGACCTACATTGGCACCTTCCCCTTGTCTCCCAAATCTTTATTTCTGTCACACGATTCATATAATACGCCCTTCATTATTTTTCTTAGGAACCAAAAGGGAAGAGGGAACTTACTGTTGTCGTCTACATTTGCATGTGAAGCCAATGACTTTTTTTCCTTCTATTCTAGATGGGGTTGGCGCCTCGGCCTCTTCCTAGGTCACCGTGCCCTTGATAAATAAAAGTGTCCTGAAAGTAACAAGGGCATATAATTGAGTACCCTTACCTCGACGGTAAATAAAGAAAGAAGAATGATAACAAATTAACAATCCCATAAAAAAATTAGGGTTAATATTTTTGTATGACCTGAACTTTGATCAAAATAAACATCCTGGCCAATCTTTTTGATCTATAACATACTGGCCCGAACTATAAACCAAAATAAACTATTTGGCCAGATCCGACTTTTGACCGTTAACTTGGACGGTCAAACGCGTTGACCGTTAGTCAAAGCGCCATGTCACTGCCAAGTCAACATAAAATATTTAAAATAATTCACAATTTCCACACATTTCCTAATTTTAAATTATTATAAATTAAAAAAATTATCTAATACTTTAGTTAAACCAAAAATAAAAAATGAAAAAAATAAAATATTTATCAGATCTTCTGACTTGGCAGTGACGAGGCAGTGACGTGGCGAGTTGACCGTTAGTCAACGCGTTTGACCGTCCAAGTTAACGGTCAAACATCGGGTTTGGCCAAATTGTTTACTTTGGTGTATAGTTCGGGCCAGGATGTTATAGATCGAAAAGATTGGTCAGGATGATTATTTCGGTTAAAGTTAAGGCCATACGAAAATATTAACCAAAAAATTACCACGAGATGAAAAGAGCAAAAGCTACCTTAAAAAGTCCTCCTAAATCGTTAAAGTATAAAGTGGTTTGCTTTTGTTAACTTTTTTTTTACACTGAGTGAGGGTTAGAGAATATGGTAGGGAGATGGATAATTTACTGCAAGTTCTAGTAGTAGGCTTTTGGATAACATCTAGTTTTTTTTTTTTTGGTAGAAAGATAACATCTAGTTGGTGTCATTAAAAATAATAATGTGATCTATGTGTGTTCAAGTCTCGAACGGTCGTTAGTACTACGTTGTACAATTTCTTTCGGTTAGATGTAATTGCATTGATTGTAGAATTGTAGTACAAGAATAGATGATCTCAGGTACACTTGAACGAGATCGAAATTATGTGATTCTTCTCACCGAGAGTGTCCCATTTGAAACATGTTTAACAATCCGGTCAACTTTGTAGTTGGTTCGCCATGGGGGAAGGAGAGAGATATTAGGCCTGAGGACGAGCTGGTCGTATATATTTTCCTTCAACGAGCATATTCATACATAGCATTCTCAAGACCGGGGGAAAAAGACAAGAGGATCGGATAGAATTTTGAAGAGATTTGAGACGTTCAATAAAAGCTCGGTAGGTAAACTCTCATCCTCGAACAATGTTCTGCATCTTCATCGTTTTGAATCTTTTTGTTTCTTTTTTTTACTACCACTTTATTCTTCGCCATATACCGACATCAAGTCACATATACGTTAATAGTTTACATTTCCAAAATAAAACCTTCATAAGAGACACTAAGATAGAGTCTTCTCAACCTATATATGACAAACCAATTCACTATGTAATTCAGTTTTGAAATCGTATCGTAACAATGATTCGACCCGTAAAATGGTCTATCAAACACTAAAGGTGGGTCGTGTGTGTGATAAGTTGCCCGTTATGGGACTTTAAAGGACTCTACTTTGCCTTTGCGTCGATAAATAAATGAACAATAAGAAGCAAAACGCCAAAAAACAAAGCAAAAGAAAAGAAAGGGAGAATAGTAATACTAAGGAAACAGACACACCCAACCCACCACCGACCCCGTACCCGACCCGACAATTCATACCCTTTTCTTTCTTAATCTTCTTCTTCCTCTCTCTGCTTTCAAGAAGGATCCCAATGCTGCTTCTGCTTTCCTCTTCTCATTACTAGTACCCTTCCTTCTCCAGTACTACCACCAACCGCCATTCCTTCACCTTAACGTTTCTCTGTCCTCTCTCTCCATTATTGCCACTCAATTTTGCTCCACCATGTCCTCCTACTAGGCCAGCACTCAATTACCCAGAAGACTCAACAAAAGTGGGGTGGGGGAGGGGGGGGGGGGGGGGGGGGGGGGGGGGGAAGGTAAAAGAAAATGGAGGTCAGTGGAAGGAGAAGATCAGTACCTGCTGCTGCTGCGGCAGCAGGGTTGGTTAACAATAATAACAGCAAACCCAGTAGTGTGATTGTGGCAGCTGGCTCTGTTTGGGAGAGCAGAATGAAGCTCGATGAAGTCAAAGGCGGGTTCAAGGTCTTCAATGCCGACGACGGCGAGAATCCCGAACCGCCGGCGGCGGTAACGGTGGCAGCGACGCCGAGGAGGTCGCCCAGGAACCTCGCCGCGGGGACGGTGGCGAGCAGTGGGAAGAGGAAGACGTGGAAATCGGAGAGCTTCGAGGGCCCAATTCGGTTGAGTGCGTCGGCCGATGGAGTCAAGAAATCGCCGATTCAGGGGAGGAAGTTGAGATCTGAAGGGAGTGGCGAGGGAATTGCGAGGAGTCCTGTTCAGGTGAGCAAGAAAGGAAGATCTGAAGTAGTGGAAAGCTCTTCCGTTGCTTCCCCGATTCAGATTGGGAAGGTGAGATCCGCTGGCAATTCTGGGAAAGAAGCTGTGAATTCGCCGGTGAAACTGGAGTCGAAGGTCGGTGGTGGTGGTGGGAAGAGCGATGGTGAAATGAAGGAGGCGAAATCTGTGCCGGAAAAGGATTTGTTGGAGGAATCTGTTTGTCAAATGGAGAAGGAACCATCTGGAATTGGGGAAACAGAGGAGAGTTGCAGGGAGTTTGGCGTTTGTGAAGAGAAGGTGGTTTCTTCTGCGGCCGTTGAAGACGATCGTGACGACGGCGATCAGGAGTTTGAAGAAGAAGATGAGGAGGAATTCGAAGAAGAATCGGACGAGGAAATTGAGAAGAAGAGCTTCGATGTTAAGGAGGTGAATGTTCAAGAAGACGAGAAGCCGAAAGAGAAGAAATTGGAAGTGAAGAGAGTGGAAATTCCGATTCCGGAGCAGAAGCCGACGAACAGAGTTGTTCATCGTCAATTTCAAAACAGAGCTCCACCGCCGGCACCTCCCACCGTGAAGAAACAGCCGCCGCCGGTGATGAGAAGAGCTGCAGCTTACCAGAACTACACTAAACCCACTCCTACTCCAGGTAGAATCACGAATACAGAGCACCATTGACGCAAAAATTCCCCCAAAATTTTCACAAAGCTTCTTTCTTTTCCCTTTTCAGCTCCATCTCCAGCTCAATCCAGGAGTTACCCAAGAAGGCAAAGCAAGCTCCAGAATCTGGGTCAGATCCCTTATCCACAACCATCCCCAATCTCTCCCTCTGCACGAAATTCGTCTCTTACTAACATTTTCTCGGGAAAATTCGGTTCTTTTTCATCCTCTGCAGTGGATTTAGTGATGTGGAGAGACGTGTCGAGATCGGCATTCGTGTTTGGAATCGGAACGTTCACCATAATCTCATCTTCCTACACGCAGGATCTCAACATCAGGTAATTCACTACATCCCAAATTCAATTCCTTTTACCTCTGTTTTTTACCAAGGAAACAGAGTAACCATTTTTTTAATAACCCTCTGTTCTTTTTTCCCCATCACACAGCTTCATTTCTGTGATGTCTTATCTGGGGCTGGTTTACCTCGCTGCAATCTTCCTCTACAGAACCCTTATTTCCAGGTAATTTGGGGGGAAAAGATCAAAATTTTAGGTTCATCCAGAATTGTCGGTAGAGTCAGAGTTTGGCAACCTAGTAGGTTCAGGTTGAGTAATTCTACTCCGTGCCAGTTCGAGTAATCGGTTAGGTCTCGTCAAGCCTGATCATCGACGAACACACTCATCCAGATCATTGTAGGTTGAATGTATCTCTAGTTTTTTTTACAGTGGTGAAATTTTTTGCTGTTACAGGGGAATTGTGGAGGGAGATGATGGTTATGAGGACACCGGGAGCTACGTGGTTGGCGAAGGGGAGGCAATCTGTGTGGTGAAGTTAGTTCTGCCGTACCTGAACGAGTGCCTGCTCAGAATCAAAGCCCTGTTTTCCGGCGATCCTTCCACCACCATGAAGGTAAAACAGTAAATGTCCTGTTTTTTTACCGGAGAAAAGAGTACAAAATGTACAATCTTACAGTGATGATTGATGTGAGTGAGCCTTTTTTACCTACACGTCAAATTGCTGGTGGCAGTTGGCAGTCCTGCTGTTCGTTCTTGCCAGGTGTGGCGGCTACATTACCATCTGGAAAATGGCCAAATTGGGTAACTTTTTTTAACCTTTACCTTCCTTTCTATATAACCTTGGTGAGGTATTTTCAATTTTGTTACTGTCAAGTATTTTTGACTTTTTTTACCTAACACGTGGCTGCGCTGCAATTGGGATGCACAGGATTTTTCGGGGTTTTCATACTGCCAAAAGTCTGCTCGTTGTACTCCAGCCAGTTAACCTCTTACGGTAAAAAAAAAAAACAAAAAATTACTTTCCTCCTAATCTTTTTAGTTTTTTACTATTTACTGTCGGTCCACTACTCCACTACACTAGTTACTCTTGTCCACGTTTCCCGAGCGAGAGAGCTATTATTCTATACCGTTAGTGCATGGATGTCACCCGTGCAGTCGCACTCATGACGAAAGAACGTAGATGTGGTGACCACTTACCTATTTATTTTCTCCTTTTTTCTCAACCACCTGTAGGCCAGCAGAAATTATTTGCTTTCTTTACTGTTTTTTGGAACAAAAACGGAGATCAAATTGGTGAGACTAATGATCGTGTTTTCCCTCTCGTGAAGCCAAGTTCTGGATTCGACGATTTCGCGACGCGTGGGAGAAGTGCACGCACAAGAAGGCCGTGGCATTGGGCATCTTCACCTTGGTGTGGAACATGTCGTCGATTGTGGCTCGTGTTTGGGCTGGTAAGTGTCGAACGTACGTAAAAGAACCTTTCGGTCTTTTTCGATTTAACTGATCGGGGTAAAACGGATAACATTCTCGTTGTTGGATTTTTTTTTTTTTTTTTACAGTGTTTATGATGTTCGTGGCTGTTCGATACTACCAACAACGTGTGGCGCAAGACAGTGAGAATTGGGAGGAGTGTGATGACGATAACGAAGAAGAAGTTATTGTAGGTCATGATGCGAAGGAGGAAGATTTTGGGCCGAGACGCCGGCCCAATTATTTTGAAGTAAATAGTAAACTAAAAAAGAAATACTAGTTAGGGTGAAAAAAGCTACATTACTACAAGTCTACAAGATTAATAAAAAGTTACCCTACCTCCGATTTGTTACCATTTCCATGCTGTTGCAGTTGCTTGTTCCTTCCATTTGTTTGTTTTGGTATTGGGCGGTTTTTCAATTACGTATATATATGGCCCAACTTCTTTTCCAATATGTCAGCCCATTAATAAAGGCCCATGGACATTTCTCGTAAGACGATCCAGTTTTGTCACTCCCCAGCCCACGTATCAGCCCATATCTACCCCATGCGGTTTTTTATTGGTTACGGAATAACAGAAAAATTCTCCACTAAGCGAACAACCGTTCTCTCTCCCTCCCTCTCCTTTCTCTTCCCCCGCAGACACCGCGGCGGTTTTCCGAGCTCGCGCTTCTCTCTCGTCAACCCTAACTCAACCTATTAACCAGTCACTCCCTCGACGGAGGCGGAATATTCCGACACCGGCGCTGCGTCTTCTATCGCTCTTTCAGGATTCGGAATCAGCCATAAGAGAAAACGCGCCTTCGTGCTAGAAATTGGCATTTCTGTAGTTGTGGAACTACCGTTTTTCTCCGGCGAGAAGGAGGAGAGAGAACTAATTTATTTCGTGAATCAGAGTTCCGAGCAAGAGGTTCTGGTTTTCTGAACTCAATACAGGTCAGTTCCTCCGGAAACTTCTTTCCGTTTTCTAGCAATAGGCGAACTAGACCTGGTAGTTTTCTTTAGAGCTTGACCTAATTAGGCGGTGGTGCGGCTCTGATATGTCGACTAGTGATCTCGAAGCTTTTTTGGGAATGTTCTGTAGTGACGGCTTTGAACTTAAGAGTAGTGAAACTCGCTAGTCGGTGGCTTTGTGGCTAATGTGCTGTGTGGATTTCTTTGGAGCTTATGTTACGAAATTGTAGTTGCACTACAAAACCTGGATTCCGTTTTTTCATTGTGATTTTGCTGTATTTGAGTTGGTGGTCCTTTGTGGTGCAGATGAGTCTTGTGACTGATTCTCCGGTGAGCTCATCTGGCAGTGATGATTTTGCTGATTTCCTTGACGATCATCTTGATGCTGAATCTGATAATGAAGACGACAATGGAGAAGCTAAAGATGAGTTTGCTTCTAGTTCTTCATCCTCCTCTTCCAGCGAGGATGAATTCGAAGATGATGACCAACCTGTAAGCAAGAGGTACTAGTGGACTTCCTTGGGTGTTCTAGTTCTGTTTGCTGCTCTATCTGCCTCTACTCACTTATTTCGTATTGTATGTTTTGTTTGAGCTACAGAGGATGAAGAATCATATGTAGCTGTGTATATATGTTGTCGGATTACTTGATTCGCTCTGAAAAATTAGGATTTTGTTTTGGGTTCAGACCAGTGAAAATGACTTGACAATTCATATACAGGACAAAGATTTCAGAGGTGGAGATAGTGCAAAATGGAGATGCTGCTGAGGGGTCAGCTTCTCATGTGATCGTGGAGCAGAAATTAGGTACATTCTAAGCATATAACTTCTGACTTCATATTAGGTTCCCGGCCTCTTATGAATCTTGTAGTTAATGTCATGTCTAGGCATGTGCTTACTTCTTGCTGCTCACCATCATCTCATTTTTTTCCCTTCTGCCACAGAATGTCGATCCTTGTTGTCTTAGTTTGTAATGGTTTATCGTTTCCCTGCATCTGTTTGCTTCTGTGAATTGTTTAATGCTGTAAACCGTAATGTCCAGCAACTCAGTTTATGCCCTTTGATCTTGTATTTTGCAGAGGCATCATCAAGTGCATCTGTCAGCAAGAATGAATGTACACATCCAGGGTCTTTTGGTAAAATGTGCATAGTTTGCGGAGCACAGGTTGAGGTTTCTGGGGTATCATTTGCAAACATACACAAGGTATGCATTTCTGTAAATGACTGTTGTGTACGTTCTAACTTAGTCGAAACAATCATATCTTGAGTCAAACTTACATGTACCCTTTTCTTATATTCTGCACTTGGTGTGATAATTGAATAAAATCCGAACTTGCAGGAAATTTTGATTGGGAATGCGGAAGTTGCTCGATTGCGAGATACTGATACCAAGAGTGTGTTGTGCCGCAAGAAGCTTTATTTGGTACTTGATTTGGATCATACATTGCTGAATTCTACTCTTCTTTCTCATATGGTCCCGGAAGAAGGGTATCTAAACAATCAGATAGACTCTGTACAAGGTAAGCTCTAAGGGCCGCTTGCTTCTTGTATTTTAAAAATTCTTCATTCCTGGGAAGAGGAAGAAGCAGATTCGATATTAATGGTGTTTTGTGCTCCTAATCCTCTCGTTATCCGCCTTGTATCTGTTTGTAAATGATCTCATCTTCTAATTTGATTAATATTTTGCTATGTACTCATTGCCAATTTCCTGTTTATTTAGCCAGCTTTATTGCATTTTATTGATGTTGTGTATTTTCATTTCACAGACTGTCAAAATGGAAGCCTATTTAGGTTGAGCTTCATGCACATGATGACCAAGCTTAGGCCCTATGTGCACACTTTTTTGAAGGAAGCTAGCCAGATGTTTGAGATGTATATATACACTATGGGAGACAAAGCGTATGCACTGGAAATGGCCAAATTACTTGACCCGAAAAATGAATACTTCCACGCCAAGGTAATTTCTCGGGATGATGGCGCTCAGAGGCATCAAAAGAGTCTCGATATGGTACTGGGAGAAGAAAGTGCCGTTCTGATTCTCGACGATACCGAAAATGTGAGTGTATCCGCCGCAGAATATTATTTACATTTCCGACACAAGTTTGAATGATTATCTCAAACAAATGAAGTGTGTTTGATATTCTTACGAGGAGTTTTTGTGTGATATAGGTGTGGCCAAGCCATCGAGACAACTTGATACTGATGGAAAGATACCATTTCTTCGCGTCGAGCTGTCGACAATTTGGGTTCGGATGCAATTCCCTCTCTCAGCTGAAAAGCGACGAGAGTGAACCCGAAGGGGCACTTGCTGCTGTTCTTAACGTCTTGAGGAGAGTTCACCATATCTTCTTCAACGTATGTTGTCTCCTAGTATCTTTCTTTGAATGTTCCTTGTACTACGTGTTCACCCTAGTTCGTGCAACTCAAGTATAAACTGCGTTTTGGGTCGTTGCAGGAATTGGCCGACCAAACCGGTCGACGGGATGTGAGACAGGTCCTGAAAACTGTTCGGAAAGACATTCTAAAGGGGTGCAGGATAGTGTTCAGCCGGGTCTTCCCATCCCAGTTCCCAGCCGAGAGCCACCATCTCTGGAAGATGGCGGAGAAGCTCGGAGCTACGTGCGCCACAGAGGTCGATCCATCCGTCACCCACGTAGTTGCCATGGATCCCGGTACGAAGAAGTCGCGCTGGGCGATGGAGAACGACAAGTTCTTGGTCCTCCCGCGGTGGATCGAGGGGGCTAACTACCTTTGGCAGAGGCTGCCGGAGGAGAATTTCCCCGTGAAGAGCAATGAACCCCCCAAGTCGGAAGCTAAGGTCAAAGATCCTGATGCTTAGCGCTTTTAACCCTCTGATCCAAAAGTTTTCTTTCCGGTTTTAGAAACCTCTAATTGGAATTCGGCTTATAGCTTCATTGGAGATGTACATAGCAGCTTCCTTTCTTCGTTGGGGATTACAGAGAAGAACCTTTGTTGCCTGACCGTGCTCGGGGCTTTCTAGAAAGCCCAATAAGAAGATACGGGCTCGAGGACACTGTGATTTGTGGGCCGGCATTGATCCGTAGGGGAGTCATTAGCGGGAGAGAGTTACTGAGGCCTGGAAATGCCAGCCCGTTTAGCGACTGTGTTCTCCCCCCTGTCTTCTCTGTGTGCGTGTGTCCAGCTCATGGTGCGAATCATCGAGAGACTAGATGGGAATCGTCGAGAGACTAGATTTGATATTTAAAGTGTCAAGATTAACTGCATTTTCATGTGCAACTACAAGTTAACATTTCATGTTAGAAGAGATTTTGTTCTCGAGTCCCTTCGCAGTAATGATTTCATCGTGTTTCATATAAGAGTTTGTGAATGTCAAACTCAGCTTTTCTCTGGTTGTTAAGCATGTCTAACTTGTTATTCTACATTGATTGCATGTGGCACGATACAATCAAAAGATTAGACTATTAAATAGACAAAACAAGTACGAAGAGATGTCAGCAAGACATAGATGAAATTTCAAATGACTTTATTATTATGTTTGTTCTTCCAATTAAGAGACAAGCATGAGATGGGGAATTGTTGAGGTGAGCAATTGATCCAACCAATTGGTTAGGTTGGTCACATGCAACTTGGTTAGGCAATTTCATGTTAGAATTCTCCATTTTTTGGGTACCTAAAATTAGTTGTCCCATGGCCCTCTTATACAATCCTTAGGGGGGAAATTCTCAGCCAACTCAACTTCTTTTGTTCTATCTATTTCCCCATGTGTGGTTACAAGAGGATGAGTGGCAGATTCCTTGGAAATTTGGCCATGGAAGATGATCTTTCAGAGAGAACATGGCAACTTTCAAGATCAAGACAAGTTATGGAAACGAAAGCGCCATTTTCCCTGATTATGGGGCACATGCAATTAGCCCGTAATCATTGGGTTAGTTTAGTTCTAAGAGATTTCATTATATTATATTGTAGTGTGCACGAGACATCTTGAATTGGCATGAACGCGTTATAATAGAGGCAAATGCAGAACTATCTTATCGAACTCAAATTTTCGACAGATTCAACTTGATATTATGTTGGAACTTTCTGCATAATGTCGATCAGCTGCGCTGATAATATCTTCATATATGCTCCATTAAGTTTGTTGCTAAGATAAATTCAAAATTGAAATGGGATACTTGATGGCATCTACTCTTTGTTAAATGTGATTAGTTCTTTTTTTTTTTTTATGAATGTGTGATTAGTTCTTAATTAAGGTGGCTCTTTTGGGTTTCCTATGAAAGCAAACCACAAACCGGCATGCAACAGTTAAACATCTTTGTCGTTCATGTCATGTTTATATATTTGACTCATTGAGTAGTTAACAGCAAGACTTCTCTGGCTACTTGTTGGGTGAGGCTTGAGAGTGAGACAGCACAGAGAATAAAAGGGAATCTGAATTTATAATTGAAAAAAAAACAAATTTATGAAAATATTGGGTGAACCAGAACATTTTATATTGTTATTTTATTAGTACTAAATATAGAAAGATAAGGCATACATTATTGTTGTACCAATATTTACACTTGTCATCTGGACAGTTTTCCATCAACCAGAATATGGGCACTAGTCAAAAAACTAATTAATAAAAATATGGGCATACATGATACTTCAAAAAACTAATTAATAAAAATAAATCATATCCTAGCTAAGAGGTGGTGTGGTGGAGGGATCTGTTTAGCTTGGGATGTCGAGCTTCGGAGAGTCGGTTTGTAGGTTGAATTATTTTTGCACCGTTTGATTACGTTGTACCAAACCAGTGGATAGAGAGAGTCGGCTGTCACTAGTTCATATATTTTTCAAAAAAAGATCACCTTATCTAAGCTAGGAAATGATTTATAAGGGTTTTTTTGTTAGCTTGGGATGTTGAACTTCGAAGAGTCGGTTTGTAGAATTTCTTTGTACCGTTTGGTTGCATCAAAGCAGTGGATAGAGAGAGTCGTCTGTCACTTATTTCACATACTTATCGAAAAGATGCCATGATTTTGACGAAATATTATCATACTAACATATCCAAAATGTAGCTGCAAGGTTGCATTTCTCCTTTTTTTTTCCTTCTCTTTATTGTGATACTAACCACATATACATGATTACTTACTGATATTATTGTACCGTCGCTTATAAACGAAGGATAGGACGCATCTGAATCTCGTTGGTCCAAAAATTCCATGAAAGAGGAAGAAGAAAGGAATATCAATATCAAATAGAAATTTAATTTCCACAAGCAAACATATAGATTGAAAAAAAAAACAGATGTCCCAATAGGAATCATGCAACCTCTTGATTTGAATCTTTCATAATCTTCAGTATTCTTGCATGTTCCATTCCCATATGCATTGAGTGTTGTTCTTTTGTTTCCATCCCAGACTTACATATAATTATTTTTCTCCCTCAATAATATTTTTATTTTTTTGCTAGTTACAAATGTATGTCAAATAAGTGCTCATCTGGGAAGTTCTCTCTCTTTTGTGGACGTAAATCAATCATCGGACAAATCATATAAGTTATTATGCACGTTTGATTGATCTCTTCCGACACTCGTACTATTTTGCACAGTATTTGAGCATCAAATTTAGTTCTCATTTTGGAATATTGACAAACCCTAACATAAAGAATTGAATTAACTGAAAACAGTGTATGGTGGATTCGTGTGCAAATTTTAAGATCTCATAAATAAAAAAATTTATTGGATGTATAAGCAAATGTATCGATTAGTTCTACTCTTAGACCTCTTTGCTTCCAACCACTCGAGTTATTTGCTAACTGAGTGATAGTCAATCAAACCTAACTCCAAATGTAATAGCTAAAGGGACATGTTCAAAAGGGTAAGTTAGCTCAATCATTTAGTCTATCAATCCCAAAAACTTTCTTTGCGGCATTTATGGGAATATTATATGAAACAAACATCTCACCAAAAACCCTAGGACAAAGTCAGGATACTATAGTAATTTGAGTAACTAATAACTTTGATTAATCACCAATCCTCATTGTTAATCAAATCATTAGAAAACAAAATCATGCCCTAAACCAACTTTGTTTACTATATTCCACATTGTACACTCCGCTGGCTTTTTTTCTTTGATCTCATTAGTATCAAATTCGTGGCTCTCGTTAATTTGTATGGACCCTCCAAATTCTTATTAAATATACATGATAGGGTAGATATTTTAAGTGACTTGATTATTTAATCATACTTATTAGTTATATATTTACTTGAGTGATGATGCATTGTGTCAATGGTTATTGTTAATAAAGCAATTGGGCTTCTTTGGCTTGGTCAAAATTAGGTCTAGTTATGCCAATCCATCCTTTAGTGGATTGACATCAACATCACTGTTTGATTTTTACTATGACATAAAATCATGAGTTGGGTTTGAGTTATCACTATAAGCTTTTTCCTTGTATTCTTTAGGGTTGGTTATTTAGTCCGGCTTTTTTGGTTTTACTCGAAATCGGACTATATAACCTGGCCTAAGACCGGACCGGGACCGGATAGTAAACAATCCAATCTCATATTCGGGCTTTGATTTGAGGTAAAAAAAATCGTTCGGGACCGGACCGAAAACCGGATAAAGATCGGATAAAAGAGCCCAAAACTTAACCAACTTCTCATCCTTTAAGGCCTCAGGCCACTCAAATTCCCACAAGCTCAATCTAAAATCAAAACCGAATTGGTAGCGGACCGTGTCAAGACCGGACTGTAGCCAATCCAATCTTTGGTCCTTATATTCCCGAAAAGACCGGACTGTGACCAGATCAATTCGGGCCAGTTTAACCAGATCGGACCGTATAGCCACCCCTGCTCTTCTCCCCTCGCTTTGCTTAGTTACCCTACCTACAATATCAATTTCGAATTCTCTCAAAATGCTCTTTGTGATTGAAAGGACATATAAATTACACCATTTCTACCAATTCATCAATCATAAATCAAGGTATGAGAATCAGTCTAGCTAGTAATTAGTGTCATTTTCCTCACATGTTCTTTCATTGCTAGTACACACACAACAGGGAGGTGTGGAGGGCTTAGTTTAGAAGGTTGGCGATTTTTGGACTATCCTTACAAGTCATTGTTTTGATCTCTTCAAAGCTTGGCACGAGCCCATTGGCTTTCAAGTTCTACAGAGTTTCACGAAACCTCTCCTACATGCTATCTGTTTCGATATGCTGCTTGCTCAAGAATATCACTTGTTTTTTCGTTGGATTTCAGGTAACAAGATAGGCGCTAGTCCATTTGAACATTCCGTTTGCACTTTTATACACGGAGGTAACACATGCATCTTGTGCGTCTCCGTCTTTGATTAATACGATTTCATAAGTCATTTGTAACAAAAGTTTCATTTCTAAACCTTTCATCATACAATCATAACGAGAAAAAAATATATATCCTTCATTCTACAGTAGGTTCTACTTCATATCAGTTAGGTTCTTCACGAGAAAAAATATATGTCTTCACGATACTTCTTCGATCCTTACATTTACTCATGTTGTAAATTCATCTCCCGACTTCCAACACACTCTAATTTCCTCTCGTTTTCTAAAGACACATCCATCATCCATCAGAATTCAATCAGGCTAGATTCTGTCCACAAAACACATCAATATAACTTGTCCATGTCGTCTACATATGGTCCCATATAACCTAATTGAATTTGACGTCGTCGATTAAGACTTTGGAAATAAGTTAACACATATATAGTTGTTTTCCTTTTTTTTCATTTTGTTCAAAGCTTATTGGGTCTTCTTTTTCCTCTTGGTATGAGTCGACAAAACGATTATATGGTGCTTGTTGATGTGGCTTTTAGTAACCAAAGAACTCACATATATGATTTAACAACTTGATTATGAAAAGCCATCTTACAATTCTAGGCCATAAATTTGACCTTATATGCCAGAAAATATTACTCGTGCATGTCTAATGCAATTGATATATAGGTAATTGACATGCCGATAATTAAGGTAATTACTACTGCGCATGCTTAAGATGGTACAAGCGTCTGACTCCTCTGAAAAATATATACGATTAGAACGAAAATTAATGTATGTGTTTGAATTCTGTATCGATCCATCATATATACTTGTAAACGGAGGAGTTATGGAGAATTCAAATATTTTAACCGACGTCATATAAAAAACCAATTGATTCCAAAAAACCATGATGTAGTCCACAAGAACTCGAGAAGTTGGGATTATAGAGTGTGTGGAGCAAACTAATTCCACTAATACCAAATGATAGTTACGTAATATTATTTTTATCATTATGAAACACCACACGATGTCGACGAGCTATGTTGGACGGTTTGTCTTCGAGGAACAGCCTAAGTAATTATCATGATCATGATTTCTTCTGTATTAATTAATTCTTAACCTCTCATCATATCGCCGGTTTGAAAATAAATTAACCGCAAATTTCCATCCACAAA